ACCTGACGCTTTTAAGGACAAGCTTTTTACAGCGGTTTTCACAAAAGGATGTGAGGGAAATCCACGTGTATTTGGAACATCTCTTAGACCCCTGACATCATCGGCAATTGTAAAGTCTTGTGCAATTGTAAAGAGGATGACTCCAACTTGTCAAATGCCAGTCACTGCTTAAAACATTCTGGGAAGGTACTCAGACACTCTAGCCAGGAAATAGTACATAGCTGGGGATTATCACTAGGTTCATAAAAAAAAAATAACAGAATGAGCAGTTGCACATTTTTCTTTGCGTACTCAGAAAACTTCATAGCTTTTTTAAAAGCTTCTCTCACTTCCCCCTCCTGTTCTCTCTTACTCAGAACCTGCGATGACTACATACGCATCAGGAAGGCGGCATGACCACAGACATTACCAGCAACAGTCTTATGGCAACCAGGCATTCCGAAGGGATGACAGCAGTAAAAAGCACTTTTCTATCATGCCGGACACCCAGATATTAACGTCTGATCTGTTAACACACCATGACTCCCAACCACACGCTAAAACCAGCACAAGCCTCCGGTACGCCCTGCTTTTACCAGGTTTGACGCTTGTCAAGTTTTCCCACACGTAGATGGTTGTGTTGAGAGACAGAGCTCAGACTAGGCAGCTTTAAGGAAAAGTTCCAGGCTGGCAATACTGCATGTTATTCTTTTTTTCAGGAACTGCAATCCTCAGCAAGTTGCTGTGGCTCATACTGCGAGCTCTGCAATGCCTAGGGAAAGGGGTGGACCACCACCGAGCTGCCTTCCAGCATATCCTGCAGCAAGAGTGCAGTGCTAGGTGCACAACCTCGTGGAGTGCTGCAGCCCGCTCGCACCATCCCGCTCAAATCCGCGCATACCAGACACAGTGCTTACAGTCGGCACTTAGAACTTTTAATATTGTTGGAGCAGAACTTAGATCAGATTTAAACATGCCTTGGAAGAGCTATTCCTGCAGACCTCCAAAGATCTATAGGTCACCCTTAAGGATTCAGAAGGCTTACTTATTAATTCAAAAAAGAAACAGCATGAAGGTGCAAAGGAGTCAACAAGGAGCTTGATAGCAAAAATCTCAGAGTTTAGGAACTACTCAGGCAGGCATCTGGGCTGCTCCTAGGTCTTAAAAGATTCATTTCACAGCGGCTTTTATTACATCTTTAGGAAAAAAGACTGGGAAATGGACACTTTCTAGAAGATATTATCAGCAGCACTAATTTAAATATGCACAGAAAGCTGAATGCTGTATGAATGAAGCCTAAACACTTAAAAGCCAGCACTGAAGAGAGGATCATACTCAGCTACAGAGCTCTCGCTCACGCTTAATTTGGTAAAACTCATTTTTGCCCCTATTAGTCAGAGTGACCAGAAGCACACGTTTTGTAATCAAAAGTTTCAGACTAGTTTTGGAAAGGCAGTTCTTAGAATCACAGAACAGTTTGGGTTGGAAGGGACCTTAAAGACCATCTAATTCCAAGCCCCCTGCCATGAGCAGGGACACCTTCCACTAGACCAGGTTGCTCAAAGCCTCGTCCAGCCTGGCCTTACTGGCCAGTTATGTAAGTGCGGCCTGGTATGTGGATTACTCTTAAATCCATGCATTTTATGCATGACTGTTAGATACCACAAAAGAAAGCCCGTGAAGTCCTAGCAGTTGGGGCACAAATACAAAGATTCCACGTTATTATTTAAGAATGTGATCAGTGAAAACTGAGAAAATGCTTAAGGACAGCTTTGCTATGAGTTACATACTATGTATAAAAAGATTACTAAGCAACTCAGATCCAATTGGGGTACAAGATTTAAAAAAAAAAACCAAACCAGAATGCTGTAATAATGTACAATAGAAGCCAAGTGTAAACCCAAAGCTTTGATTCTTTAAAGCTTCACTATTTAACACAAAATATTCAAAAGCAGTTTATATTGATACAGTACTTCGTGTTCCTAGCAAACATTTATGCTTGATGAAAGTTACCCTAGACCATCTCTAGGTGGAAGATTCTAATTTCTGACTGCTTTAAAGCTCAGTTTGGAAATTTATTAAATGCTTACCTGTTCTTCGGAGTTTTTACCTGTTTTCAGACGTTAAATGGGATACACGAAAGAATTGCTTGCTAAATGAACAGTTCTACTAGAATAACCACCACACTCCATTTTTGCTGTGGGCACATCACTAGCGTGTATCTAGTACCTGAAGAGGCAAGCACAGTTACAAAGCACAAAACTTTCACAAGTTAGACAACAGAACAAAAGGAAACAACCACCTGCACACACAGGTCAGGGAGGAGTGCTTCAACAGGCTCCATCCAGCAATTTCTGTACTCTTATCTCTACAGCTTGATATGAATACCTTCTTCCATATTTTACTGGGAAAACTTTAGTGTAAAATTAACCATATCCTCAGTGACTCTGAGGAAACATCCCTGCTGTCAAAAATTCACCTTTTTTGGAGGATGGATGACTGCAGAGTTAGTGCTTATTATCAATTGGCTGTATCTCGTTAAAGTCCCCATTTAAACAGAGTTCAGTTTTTATACTTAACATGTTTCACAATATTTTAGCATTTAAATAAAGTCTTCCAGAATCCAGAGTTTAGATTTTCAATGTTTATTATGAATCACATTCACAGTGCAATACAAATGACATAAAAAGCTATACAACAACTGTACAAAGACCACACGAAGCACGTACCATTCTGTAACGCACACAATACCTGATGCTTAGGCTAAAAGTGTTCTTAACCCCTGCCAGCAAGAAACTGAAGTCAAAAGATAAATAGTTGGATTGCAAAACTCCTTCATTATTTAGGGTTTTTTTTTAACTGAAACCCCTTTATGCTGGTAAGCAAGCTGTCAATGGGGGGAGGGGGAAAGCAACACTCTCCTCTTTCCTAGCACGTAAAAAAGTTTTTCCACAGTTCCAAGCCTAGATTAAAACTAAATTATTCATCCTGTCCTCCAGCAAGAGTAGTCACAAAAATCACTTTAGCACTTTGTTTCCAGAGCAGGTTGAAGATACAAAAAAATAAACTATAAACACACGCATAATCATGGGTCAGCATGTAAGTTTGGAAATAGTATCTGCAGACGTTCAGAGACCCAGATGGTGCGATATATGCACTGCTTAGACTCATTACACAGCGGCAGTTCTGGAGAACATCACGCAGGTTTAAGGTACTGTTCATCCCAGAAAAATGTATTGACTGTACGTGTCTAGAACGATGCCTGCAAATGTTCACTGACGAGCTGCACTCGTACTTTGCCGGCCCAGCTTTGTAGCTGTTTCCACAGTCTCTCCTCGCCCATATGAAAAAAAAAAGTCCTGGCTGGCTAAGTGCAAATAATTGTTAATTTCCACTACCTGTCAGATTCTGGAGGCAGTTTGACTGTATTTTGCTTTGTAAGATAAAAACATTTCAGAGAAGTGCCATTTCTCTTACCTTCAGTACGCTAACGGTTTAGTGACTTCGGCAGATATTCTCCCTTAGCTAATCTACGCACAGCTCAAACGAGATCCTAAGGAAACATTCTTGATATGCTGTTTAAACTCAGGGCAAGCCTCTGCCTAGGAGCGACAACATGACAGCTCAGAACATCTCTCGGCCATGACAGAATTACGTATTTCAGGAGAACAGATTCTTTCATGTGCTAATTCTGAAAAATTGGAGAGATGTGGTTTTCAGCCACCCACTTCTGGAGCTCCAGAGCTGCAAAACTGACGAGTTGAGACTTATTTTCAGCTAAGATACACAAGATCACTTTCAACAGATGACCAGGAGGAAATCATTGCTTTAGCACCTCAACACAGCCCCAGCCCGTCCAATGGATATTAAAGGCTACGTAAATTGACAAGCCCCAATTTTAATTAAGATTTTGGTGACGTGCGTCCGCACGCACAATCTGTTCAAGTAGTACAGAGGGCTTGTAAAGCTGGACATAAGCTTTAAGCTCACGCAGAAAAATTAGTAAGAACGTAATATGCAAGAATAAATTAATCATGTATTCAATATCCATATAGATTTGCTTTCTAATATGCACTACATAGCAATAAGCACCCTTACTGATCACGATTCAAATGCATGTCCCAAAATGCTAGTAGCACTTCTTCGGTCTGTTTTTAGAATTAATCCAAAATAAACCCTACAGCAGTGTGTAGTACTTCACAGCCACATTTGCAGTACTACTACCGCGTGTAAAACCCTCCTCCCGGGGCCTAGCAAGGAAGACCTTTTTTAATGCCATCAGAGCCCTTCTCTGACTGCTGGCTGCTGTCTGTCCCTTCTAGCAAGCAACAACGGTGCCAGACTTATTGCTCCGAGTCCAAGAGAACCTTGTGTATATCTCACACATGACTTGGGAACACCGGCGGCAGCTGTATCGCCAGAGGCGCTGCCTGGGCCTCAGAGCGTCTTCAGCAGAACACTCATACCCAGAATTCACCTCAAAGCAGACGGGCCTGGGGAAGGCTCACTTACCAGAATGTTGTTGCGACCCTCAGCACAAATGCCCCTGCGAACGACTTTATTCAAAGAGGATGCTGAAGCAGAACAAGCCAGGTGTACATTTTATAAGTCACACGCTGCTTCTGGAAGCATGCTGTAAGAATTCATTTCAGCCTAGGCTTTCAGAAAAAGTCAACAACTACAGCTTCCTCCCTGGCCCCCAGTGAAGACAAACTTACATGTGGGAAAGTTCTGAACAGCGAGTTTCACATTAAATGCACTTTCTAAACAATGTGTCTGGGTTACAGATAACAATAACTACCACGTCAAATTCCGATCAGCATTGCACTTTTCAAGTATGTATTAGCATCAGATGTTGACAAGAAATGAATATTCAAGTGTCAATAGAAGATTAGAAACCACCGTAAAAAGTTAGTAGAAAACCTCCATTGTTTCTGGAGTTGAAACACAAGTTTCAAACACAATGCACGTGGGGAGCTATTCCATTTACTCTAGTTCAGGTAATATGGCAGGAGAACCAACAATAGCTTTATAAAAGGGATAAAATATGAGAAATACAAACCCAAATGACAGAACTTCTCAGACACTACTGCAATCTTCAAGCCAAGTAGCATCCAAGTGCCAAGACAAACCGTATGTGAACACCTTCATGATAAACTTCACATTCCCATCTGCATGTCTGCAAAGTTGTAGAAGTTGTCTACATCTTGAGACGCCGATGCCTTGCTCTCCGATACAAAAACCTGTTTTATTAAACAAGGAAAGAGTTATGTGTCACTCAAAGTTCAAGTAGTCTTGTCTCATTCTGAGCCAGTAATGGTTATTTTTAGCTTTGCGTTTCACTAGAGGCACAACTCTTGGTTTTCACCGCGTGACAGCACAGCCCTAGAGTTCTCTCAGCCCTGACGCACCCCCTGCTACCATCACCAGTTCCTAGCAGACATGCTAGCTGCAGTAGCCCGAGCCTTCCACTGACAGGACCGAAAGGTTTCAGGGGTCACAGCTTCAGCTAGTGTCCATTCAGAGGTATTTTGCTTGGTCAGGTCAAACTCTGCCCAGGAGGGAGGTGGGAAACAGACACACAAAACCCTTAGGCTACCATGAAGCTTTTCTTTAACAGAAAGGCGCCATTTGTGAGAAAGACTCCCTTGCCTATATTCCCCTCAAAAACCTTACTTCCTTCTTCATCAGGTGATTGTTTTTTAAAATCACTTCAATTACATTTGCATTTTGCAAAACTGATCAATGCACACGACAGTCTGCGCTCTTGGACAGTCGCCTGCAAGAGCTTTCGGCAAAGCAACTACAAATGCCTCAGGCGGCGCCCAGACGGCTCAGCGTAATGGTGTTGTGGCGTTCGTCGTTCTCCACATGCAAGCATCAAAAGCCTCAACCAAAAACTTAAACCGAGTTCTTACTATCTTGTATTCCCTATACCTCAAGAGGCAACCATCACTGTCTCGGCACGTCAGCGTTGGCCCCACCAGCTGAAGCGCACGGGGACTGCAGGAATGGGTTATCCCAGGTAACTATGCTCTTACGGTCAACACTTTCCTGCTTCAGCTCAGAATACCACGTGAATGTAAGCCATGACAGCTCCTTGACTCGGTTTACTTAAACTATGTTTTAAGATGAATCTCCTGCTGTCCAGTAAATTTCCAATTAAAAAAAAAAATAGTATCATCAGAAAGCAAGCAGTTTCCAAGAGAGTCGCTTGGAAGCATGGCAGAGTTCTGCTTGAAGGGACTTGGGAACCTCTATGGCTTAATACTCGGCAGTTGTTCGGCATCACAGTGATTGGTACCACTGTCACAACAGCTGGATGCCTTCTTTCCGCACCCTTTCCTACCAGGATATGACAATTTACGTTTTGCAGAGTAGCTCACGAGTGGGCAATGAGACGGAGGAACAGGACTGGAAAGCACGTCAAAAGAAGTACAGGTGCTCACATGAGAAAGAATGTCAGAGGTAAAGAGCGCGGATGTACCTCGTCCACACAAAGGAAGCCTGCTTAAGTGCACAGCACAGAGCTCTCCTTCTAACACCTTGTTTCCACCAAGCAGCACAAAAAAAATCTGGTGGTGCTATTGCTGAAAGACTTTTCTTACCTCACTAGGGCATCTAGAGTTACTTACCAGATTCACTTCAGAAATAGACACCTGGTGAAATTAAGGTTATTAATGGATTAATTTAACCATTTTTAACTGTGGTTTTCAAACGCAAAGGTAGCCTCCTGCTTAAAAGCAGATTAATCTCCTGCAAAGTCTTACAGGATACATGTTGTGCTGGTTTTTGTTGGGATAGAGTTAATTTTCTTCACAGTAGCCAGCGTGAGGCTGCATTCTGGATTTATGCTGAGTAGAATATTGATAACACTGATGTTTTCCCTTGTTGCTAAGGAGCGTTTGTACCAACTCAAGGACGTTTTTGGTTTCTGGTGCCGCATCTGTGTTCCCAACTTCTCTGCCACAGGGAGCTGTGAGGGAACAGGCTTCTCAGTTGGTCAGCAGGTGGGGAGCGGCTATATCATTTGTTTTCTTTTCCATTATTTTCATCACATATTAGTAGCATTGTTAATATTATTGGTACCATTATTTTATTCCATTTACTTTCAATTATTAAATAGACCTTATCTCAACGCAGGAGTTTCTTTGTCTTCTCCTCCTTCACTGGAGGAGGGGGGAGGTGAGTGAGTGGCCATGTAGTACGTAGTTGCTGGCTGGGATTAAACAACAACAGTCCTTTCTGGCACCCAATGTGGGGCTCAAAGGGTTTAAACCACAACATTACGTTAAGCCAAGGACTTTTTCAGCTTCCGATAACCGCACCCGCATTCCCAGCTTCCTCTCTACAAGAGGCTGGGAAGGGACACAGCCAGGACAAGCTGACCAACCTGCTATTTCACTCCATAAAACATCATGCTCAGTACATAAGCTGAGGGGTGGGCTGAGGTTCCCCCTCTTTCTTGGTCTTGTTCTGGCTCACCAGTGGTCAATGGGTGGTGAGCGGTTGTATCATTTGTTTTCTTTTCCATTATTTTCATTACATATTATTATTACTGGTAGTATTATTTTCATTACATATTATTAGTAGTGATATTAGTATTACTGGTAATGTTAGTAGCATTAATATTCTTTTCAATTATTGTTTATTCAACTTATTTTCAGTTATTAAATTGTCCTTATCTCAATCCATTGGGGGAGGTGGGAGGTGAGCAAACGGCTGTGCGGTGCTTAGCTGCTGGCAGAGGTTAAACCACAACACATCTTCCTAAGAGCTTTTGTCATTGTTTCTTGATCAAGGATTCCTGTAATTCTTTCTGAGCATTATAACCACTCTCAAGCATGATAAGGGCAGCCCACAATGAGGTGAAACCATGCTGTAGAGCATTCCTGAACCTTTGGTAGTAATAACTCTGAAGTTTGTCACTCACTAAGTTACTTCTGAAAAACATGCCAAGAAAGAAATACATTTTCTAAAAGTGTATACCCGTGATAGTCAATTATCTAGGGATCCATGCACAAATTCAGTGTTTATCAGAAGTTTTGAAGCTACATTTTATCTAAATAAAGATACATACTTCTTAGGAAGCCCAAAGTTCTCCTCCTTAATTCAGTGCAGCAAGTATTTATTAAGTGAGGTAGATTTTACTATGGAACCAGGCTGTAAACAGAAGTTTTAAATCCAGATGCAGCAAGTAATTTCACATTTTTAACTGAACACAAACACTGCAGATCACCTTCGAGAACAAACCTTACTTCACAGCATGAAGTGCAATGCACCTCAGATGAGGGCATTCATAGCGTTCTAACAGACACCAGTCATTTAAGTGAGGAAAATATAAAGTTTTATTTGTTCTAATAACTATTACCACTTCAGTCTTTGAAGAGAGAAGGATCTGGAAGAACCAGTTACCTACCCAGTATCAGCTTTATTCCGTATGAAAACCAAAATATGCTAACCACACCAAAAATAAAAAAAAAAAAAAAAGGCCACTGTAAGCTCCTGCTTAAACAGGCCTTCTTGGAAGCACAGGGTTTGCCACACTCTCGTTATCAGGAGTGCTCGAATTGTTTCCAGAAACCTTCTCAACAAAGCCACTGCCATTTGGAGAAATGGGGACAGCAAGCAAAGAGAAGATGTGGTGTAAAAAAGTGACAGTCAAACAAGCGGACGGAATACAAAAAGAATGCCTTTGGAGGAAGGCATTCTGCAATACACCTCACAGCAAAAGCAGACCTTGAAAAAAGCCAAAATCCCATCACATTATCTTGGCCAGGGACTAGGACATCACAGAGCAGATGTCAGTATACAACTGAGCATGGCTTTCC